CGCAGATCCAGAGCAAGATCGTGTTCTTGGCCAAGAGGCTGGGCGGCGTGCGCCCCGTGGCCATTGTGCACGTCCTCGCTAGGGTGCAGACGAGGCTACGCAAGCCCCTGGCTGAGGAGTGGGAGCGCAAGAATGATCGGCCCTTCTTCTGGGCGGCGCGCGGCAGAGGCTGCGAGAGGGCGGTCTGGCAGCAGGCCGTGGAGTGCGAGTGGGCGACAGCGAAGGGGCGCGAAGCTGGCGATGCATCCAGCTGGGTCGCGGCCCTCATCCTCCTGGACCTACTCAAGGCGTACGAGCAGGTGCAGCATGGGCGCCTCATCCAGGCCGCCCAGCGGACGGGCTTCCCGCTCTGGCAGCTCAGGCTGCAGGTGAGCTTGTACCGTGCGCCCAGGTGGCTGGCGCGGGACGAAGCCGTCAGCAACGCCATCAGCACCGAGCAGGCGGTGCTGCCTGGAGACGGGCTGGCGACGCTCATGCTCAAGATGCTGCTGCTTGAGCCGCTGGACAAGCTTCAGGAGCTGGTTCCCACGCTGGCGATTTCGGTGGTCGTGGATGACATCATCCTGAAGAGGGTGGGCGGCTTCCAGCGGACAGTCAACGACCTCACGCTGGCGGCCAGGCACCTCAAGGTACTGCTCGGCGAGGCCGACCTCGAGGTCGCGGTGAAGAAATCCAGGGCGCTGGCGAATGTGCCAGCAGCGAGGCAGGAGCTCGAGAAGCGCCTGCTGAAGCCGCTGGGGGTGCGCGCCACAGGACAGGAGAGGAACCTGGGGGTCGACTTCAGCGGTGGCAAGAGGATAGGACGAGCAGTTCGTCGCGACAGGATGGTGCAGGCGAGCGGCAGGCTGCGCAGGATCAAAGTGCTGCAGGTGGTCAAGGCCAAGCGGAGGGCCACCAAGAGGATTGAAGACGGGGCTGCACCCGTGCATCGGATACGGCACGGCCATCACGGGCTGCACGGAGGGGGAGCTGGACCGCGCCAGGACCCTCACTTTCGTCGCGGTCTCCAACACCACGGCGAGCAAGTCCAGGTCGCTCGGGCTCATGCTCCAGGCAGGCCTTGACCCGATCTACGACGCGACCTGCAAGCCGGTGCTGATGTTGCTGCGTGCGGTCTGGGAGCGGTGGGTGCCGCTGCACATGGTGTGGCGGGGCCTCGAGGACAAGCGGCCTGTGTCCTGGGTGCACGTGCAGGGCCCGTGCGCGGCGACGGTGCTGTCCCTCAGGAGGATCGGCTGGGACGTCGTCGCCGCCAACTGCTGGGTCATGGACGACGGCGTGGCCATCGCGCCCTTCGACTGCGCGCCGTGGGTCGTGGTCAAGCTGGTGAAGAGAGCAGTGCAGCGCTGGCAGTGGAGGCAGGTCAGCAAAGCCCCAGGGTGCGCGCACTTGGCGGGTGGCGGCGAGCTGGAGCCCCTGGTCAGGCTCACCTCCTCTGGCTGCGCTAGGAAAGCCGACGAGCCACGCCGAGAGGAGGGAGCACCTCGCACCAGGGTTCGGTTGACGGCGCGAGAGCAGGCCTACCTGAGGTCCCTCATCATTGATGGGCAGTGGACTCAGGCGCGCAAGGAGGAGAAGGGGCTGGCGCCCAGTGCAGGGTGCTTGAGGTGTGGAGCCAGGGGCACGCTGATGCACAGGCACTTCGACTGCCCGTGCTGGCGTGAGGTGCTGACGCTCCCAGAGGACCTGGCAGGCCTCCGAAGGCAGAGCGGAAGGCCTGAGGTGCAGCTGCTGCTTGAGAGGTGCCTGTGGCCGACACCACGGGGCATCTGCCGCCCGCCAGTGTGCAGCGACGTGTGCTGGAAGGGCGACCACGATGGAGGCACCCTTCCTGGAGGTGAGCTGTTTCTCGATGGCTCGGCGTTCGAAGCGGGCTACGAGGAGGTGGCGGCAGTTGGCTGGAGTGTGGTGGCGCTGCAGGCGCACAGTGACGGGTACAGAGCCTCCATCGCTGGCCAGATGGAGGGCCACTGCGTGGACATCAACGGCGGGGAGCTCACAGCGGTGATCATGGCGCTCAGGTTTGGCCAAGGGGTCACGGTGCTGGTGGTCGACTCCAAGTACGTGTACGACGGCTTCTACAAGGTCGGCAGGGCGGGCACCACGGGCTACGCGTACACGTGGGCTCACCTGTGGCGGCGAGCGTGGGACCTGCTGGACGAGCGAGGAGGCCTTGGGCATGAGGTCAGCCTGAGGTGGATGCCAAGCCACAGCACGCGGCGGCAGGTGGCGGCGGGCGAGGTGCTGTACAGAGATTGGTACGGCAACCGACTGGCGGACAGGGCGGCAAAGGCTGCGGCGGCCAGCGGGCGCCTCCCCGTGCGGGACAGAGAGTGCCTGGAGAGGAGTCGAGACGTGGTCGAACGAGCAGCCATGTGGTGCGCGGCAGTCGGCAGCTGGGTCGACGGCAGCGACACCACGCACGGCAAGACGAAGGTGCAGCGCGCGCTGCCAGTGCGCAAGGAGCCAGCGGCGAGAATGGCCTGCGTCTGGAGGAGGCCGCCTGGCCTACGTCCCTGGTGCGAGGTTTGCAGATGGTCAGGCAGATCAGGAGAGTGCCCTGGCAGCATCGTCGCCGGGGCGATCAGGGCCAACAACAGGCTGAAGGCGCAGCAGAAGGCGTCGCACGACCTGGTGCTACTCGCGCCTGTTGGTGGGAGGCTGCTGGTGCGCAGGATGCCGCTGGTGGCTTGCAGGGCGTGCGGGTTCACAGGCGCGGCCAGAGCGAGCTCCTTCCACCTCGAGTGCAAGAGTGTCCCTTCGGCTGCAGGCGCCGCCGCGGTCGCGAGGCTGAGGAAGGGGCTGGCTCCGAAGGTGGTCAGCGAGGTGGCAGTCAACATCACGATGCTGGCGGACGACGTGCAGGAGGGGAGAGGCCAGCCGCCGCAGGACATCGCGGGGGAGGAGGACGGCCACTCCTTGCGCCCGCCAGGAGGAGCTCCAGGTGGCGGGGAGGGGGAGGACGAGGACTCCCTGCGCCCCCTGACCCCTGAGGGCTCCAGCGCGGCGGCTGGCCCGAGAGGGCGAGCTGGCGGCAGGCGTGCAGCCGCGGCACGCCAGGCCGCGGCAGGAGGCGAGGCAGGGCCTGCGGGCGGCGGCGACGGGCCAGGCCCGCGGCGCCGCGCGCGCGTGCGCAGCAGCTCACCGAGGCAAGCCGCTCTGACGCCGCCCTCGCTGTCGCCGAAGCGGGCGGCCAAGGTGGCCAAGCAGCAGCAGGAGGAGAGCCAGCGGCCTGAGGCGGGCCCCGCCGAGGGAGAAGACGGGGTGGCTGCAGGTGGCAGCGGCGGCGGACCGCCCCCGCCGATGCTGGCGGACGACGTGCAGGAGGGGAGAGGCCAGCCGCCGCGGCACATCGCGGGGGAGGAGGACGGCCACTCCTTGCGCCCGCCAGGAGGAGCTCCAGGTGGCGGGGAGGGGGAGGGCGAGGACTCCCTGCGTCCCCTGACCCCTGAGGGCTCCAGCGTGGCGGCTGGCCCGAGAGGGCGAGCTGGCGGCAGGCGTGCAGCCGCGGCGCGCCAGGCCGCGGCAGGAGGCGAGGCAGGGCCTGCGGGCGGCGGCGGCGGGCCAGGCCCGCGGCGCCGCACGCGTGTGCGCAGCAGCTCGCCGAGGCGCCAGGCCGCGGCAGGAGGCGAGGCGGGGCCTGCGGGCGGCGGCGGAGGGCCAGGCCCGAGGCGCCGCGCGCGTGTGCGCAGCAGCTCGCCGAGGCAGGCCGCGCTGACGCCGCCCTCGCAGTCGCCGAGGCGGGCGGCCAAGGTGGCCAAGCAGCAGGAGGAGAGCCAGCGGCCTGAGGCGGGCCCTGCCGAGAGAGGAGGCGAGGTGGCTGCAGGTGGCAGCGGCGGCGGACCGCCCCCGCCACGCGAGGCCAGAGGGGCCAGGTCGCAGGAGGAGGTCCAGCCGCCTGCAGGTGAACCTGCTGCTCGATGCGAAGCAGGGGCTGCGGGCGGCGACAGCGTGGACTTGGAGGACAGGTCGCAGGAGGAGAGCATGCCGCCTGCAGGTGGCTCTGCTGCTCGATGCGAAGCAGGGGCTGCGGGCGGCGGAGGCGGCTGGCCGAGGCCGCGGCGCTGCACGCGGGAGCGCAGCAGCTCGCCAGGCTTGGCCGCCAAGGTGGCGAGGCTGCTGCGGGCCGCGCGGGGTGAGGCCTGGCCGACAGCCTCGGGCGCGTAGCTGCGCCGAGGCGCGGGCGCGCGTGGGGCGCGCGCCTCGCAGGGGTGGCCGTGGCTCGACGCGGTCCGCCTCACCCCGCGGGCATCCTCCTCCTCCTCCTCCTCCTCCTCCTCCTCCTCCTCCTCCTCCTCGTCGCTGTTTTGCCCCGTTTCTCCCGCTCCCCCTCGCTCAGCTTTCTCGATTGCCATTTTCTACGATTTTATTTGTTCTAGCTACCACACCTACCGCCATAAGGGCGGTCTTCGGGGTTCCAGACTGGCCCGTGCCGCCTCGGCTCGGTTGGCCCAGCATCTCCGTCGTGCCTCTCAGCTGAGTAGTATAGTACTTTGAGTCTCGAGCCACGGGCTGAGCTTGAGAGGGCACTTTTTGAAGGCAGTAGGTCGTGGTACTTTGAGTTTCGAGATGCTGCGGGCGTGGTTGGGCGCTGGGGCGCCTTCCCTCGCCCTTGGTGTCGCTGCCTCTCCTTGTTCCTGCTCTTGCCCCTGCACTGGCCTTCTTCCCGTTCGCTATCTTGCGGGTGCTGGCAGGCGGCGTAGGTGTGGGGGCCGGCGGCGCGGACATGAGGCCCCACTTGCGGGGGCCCTTTTGGGCAGCGTTCGACGAGAACGGCTTCACCGCCCACAGGACGCTTGGTCACGCGACGAGTGCCGACGTGGACGCGGGGCGCAGCACGCACTGGGAGAGGCGCGCAACAACCACGCCGACGAGCTGGCCAAGAGAGGTGCAACCCGACATGGCATTGGCGAGCCCGAAGCGGCTCTGTGGCGAGGCCCGCGCGTCCTCGCCGAGGAGGCGGCGAGCTGGAGCGCCTCCCTGGAGACGAGCCGAGACAGGACCGTGAGGATGTTCTTCGACGCGAGCCTGCAGGCTGTGCATGGGTTGACTCGGACCTTGGCGAAGAAGCTGCGGCCGAGGCGGATGGAGCAGAAGACCACCCTGGCGAGGGGCCTCAGGATGATGCAGGCCTGGCCGCGCCGCAGCAGGGATCTACCAGCGATGGAGCTGGCGCTGGACCTGCTTCCAGGCCTCCCAGTCCTCATCTCGACGCCCTGACGTTCGACCTGGACGAGGCCGTGCTGGCCAGGCATGCGTGGAGAGTGCTAGGCCATGCGCTACTCCGCTGCGGCGTCGTGCAGAAGCCAGAGGTGCGCCTGGTATTCTGCCTCAGCTGCGGCGCCGTGCTGACGGGCAAGCGGCTTGGCAAGCTGCTCAGGGCGCCATGCAATGGGCGGCGGGGGCGAGGAGGAGCTGGGGAGGAGCAGCTGAGGCTCATCCGCCAACTCAGGTGGCCACACTACCGTGCTGGCCACCAAGGCGATAGGCTTGTGGGGCCCTTCGCCATCGATTTCGACGAGCGCCTCAACCTGTCAACCAGCCTGCTGGGTAGCCAGGCTGCTGGGGCTGGAGGCGCGCAGGGGGTGAGGCCGCGGGGGCGGCGCTCGAGGGGAGAGCGGCTCGGTTCCACCTGCTGCGATGCCATGGGGTCTGGGAGTCCGACTTCGAGGAGGTGCGCGAGGTTGGGCGGGCAGTTGCCCGCGCAGCGGCCAGCCTCGAGAGTGACTCCGACGACTTCGACGACGGGCGATTCACGGGCGGAGGGGGCCCACCCGCCCTGCCTGTTGGAGGCAGGCCACACCCATACCATACCATGCCTCCTCCTCCTCCTCCTCCTCGTGCTGGCCGCGGGCCAGCGTGCCCACCAGGGCCTGCACGGCTCAACCCGCCAGCCCGACCAGGCCTCTGCGGCCGGGCCCTCGGCTTACCAGGCCGAGTCCAACTCCAGCGACGCTGCGGTGCCTGGCCAACGAAGGATCCATTTGACAGAGATTGGGGCTCACGAACGAAGCAGAGGTTAGCGATGACGCGGGTCAGCCAGTCCCATCTGGCTGACCCGGGTGGCTCCCAAGAGACAGCCAGGAGGCTCCCAGGAGACCCCACGACGCCTCATGAGGCACCCCAGAGGCACCCAAGACGCCCCATGAAGCTTCTGCGAGAAGGCCGATTCCCCCGCTGGCCTGGACTTGGGAGCGACTGAGTGGCCGGCTGGGCTTCGCGACAGGGCCCTGGCCGACCCGGGATTTGTTTTGACTCGGGTCGGTGCGTCCCCGAAGAGGTTCCAGCGGCCCGTTCAGGAGCCCTCTTGACTTTGCAGCGCTCGGACGTGTGCAACTTTTCTCGGCGAGGACCATCGAGGAGCATCCTGCATCAGCACGCCAAATAAAACAAGCATGCACACACGAAACCGAAACATGCACAGAGAATGGACATCCGAGCGATGGCGAGTTTAGCAAGCGTGTCTCCTCCGGCAGCGCGCCCTCGAAGGCTGCATGATGCTCGCCTGCCAGGTCGAGGAACTGCCCGACCGAGGCCCGCATCGCATCGAACTCTGGCACGGTGTGGCCATCCAGCGTTCCCACCAAATCGGGCCCAGATCCTCTTCAAAGTCATAGACTCCCCACCTTCGGCGCCCACGTCGCCCCTGGCACTCGGCGTCGCCATGCCACTCTTTGTGGCGTAGGGCGAATTTGGCCTGCTCCGGTGTCCAGCAGCTTGGGTTTCATCATCACCTCGAGGCCCATGCCCGTCACGTCCATCTTCGGCGGCTGCCGCTTCACGGCGATCCAGAGGACGTTCTGGGCCTTGGTGGTCTTCTGCTTCGGCCGCAGCTGCCGTAGCCTCTTCGAGGATTTCGGAAGGGGCCCTGTGGCATGCGGTCGGGAACTTGAGCTCAGCGTGTCGCTCCGCTGGTTCTGGCCCACCACTCTTCGGCGCGACACGCTATCCACTTCCTGGTCCCTTGGCGTCAACGTCCCGAACTTTCCCCAGCATCCCGCCCCACGGAGCGGAGCGACGCGCTATCCGCTCACATGGCATAGCGTGTCGCCGGGGCCACGCCGCGGCACGCTACGCAAAAGTTCCCAACCGAGTTTCCTCCACGCACTCCTGGATGACCCGCGGGCTTGGCCGCCTGAAATGAGGGCTCTCAGGCAGCAGGCAAGACGCCGTACTGTACACCGATCCTGGGGAGGACAGCTCGCCCGCAGGCTGCACGCATCCCTGCTGCTCCGCCCAGCACGTTTTGCCAGGACGGCCGCACTGCACCACAGCCTCTTGCGCACGAAGGGGGATGCGTCCTTGTGCATTGACGGGCTGTAGCCCTCTTGTACGACCAGGGCGCCCACGCTGAGACACTCTGAGTCGTGGAAAGTTTCGCGCTGATGCTGCGCTCCCCCCGCGTAGCTCAGCCTAGCGCTCTTCGGCGAAGCGGCCACCATGTGTCGCAGGTGGGGCGAACCCCTCCCTGGCCAAGTCGAACGCACCTTCGAAATCCCAGGCACGCTCGAAGCCTTCGGCCTCGGCAAAGGCGGAAACATCTAAGCCTAGGGCACCTCCTCACGCTCGCTGGCTTCTCCCTATTATTCTCTGGCTTCACCCTCATCCTGTGGATCTTGCCGCCCTGGTTGAAGTAGACTCAGCTGCCGCACCTCCTGCGCCTGTACCTGGGGCCCTGCGTATACGTCTCACTGCCCGTCACTCTCTCTTTATGGGCCCAGTTGTTTTTATCACATAAGTCCTTAACCTGGTTTCCAGAGTTTGGCTCCATGACTCAGGCAGCCGAAAGCCTCGATGTACTTCTCCTTCGTCGGCCAACGTAGGACTCGAGTTCGCCGGAGCTTGGGCTTGCCGACGCTCCTTGACGAGTCCATCCTGAACCCTGACGGCCCGGCATCAGTAGAAGGTTTGTCCAACCCGAGCCCCCGAACCCGAGCCTGGTGTCCCCGACCCTTGACGGGCCGCGTGGCGCTCCTCCCGCTGCTTGGAGGGTTTCTCTGACTGACTGACTGTCTCGAGTTAGATCGAGCGGTGCCTGGTACCTGCATCCTCCTCCACCTCCTTCTCCTCCTCCTCCTCCTCCTTATCCTCCTCCTCCTACTCCTCCTCTTCCTCCTCTCCTCCTCCTCCTCCTCCTCCTCCTCCTCCTCCTCCTCCTCCTCCTCCTCTTCCATCACCTCCTCCTGCTCCTCCTCCTCCTCCTCCTCCTCCTCCTCCTCCTCTTCCTCCTCCTCCCCCTCCTCCTCCTCCTCCTCCTCCTCCTCTTCGGGTCGCTTACGGCCCTGGGGGAAACCGTGCACCGCTGCCCCCCTCGACAGCGGTCGACTCCGAGAGGGGCGGGCAGCGGCCCCACGCGCAGCGGCCCCACGCGCAGCAGCCCTGGCGGTGTTGCCCCCGCCCTCCCGCCTCGGCGGCGTGGTCGGACGGCGGCCCCGCGCCGTGGAGACCGTGTGCCAATTCGCGGTATTCCATGTGGAGGGCGAGGAGGTGGAGGGGGAGGCGGAGGAGGAGGAGGAGGAGGAGGAGGAGGAGGAGGAGGAGGAGGAGGAGGTGGGGGAGGGGGAGGAGGAGGAGGGGGCGGTCACGTCACGATTCGCGCAGGCGCCGTCCAGGACTGCTCACAGAAGGCTCACTCCCACACGTTGGCGGCGCGAATCGTGTCGTGAACAGAGGGGCGGAAGGAGGTGGCGTGGCGGGTCAAATATTCGACGCAGAGGTCCACGACCCGCTTTGAGCGTCTGGCTGTGAGCGCCTGGGTGCCAGAGCGAATCCGAGTGGACGACGGCTACGATGACGACGGCGGCGGCTACGATGAGGGACAACGCCGACCGCGACGACAACAACTTACAGACAGACGGCATGCGACAGAGACAGTGACAGAAGTTTAAAAGGCGAGCAGCAGCAGCCGAGACCTGGACGGAAAGAGGAACGAGACATGGATAGGGAACGAACAATGACACAAGCATAATAACTCGGAGGTCCGCGCGGAATTCTCGGATCCGCGCTGGGTCCCCCTGGCGGCGCCTGCGGCGCCGCCCCTGACCTCCGAGTTCTTATGTTTGTGTCATGGTTCGTTCCCTTTTTATATATTTATATATACATAGAGAGAGAGGGAGACAGAGAGAGGGAGAGAGAGAGAGAGGGAGACAGAGAGAAAGAGAGAGACAGAGAGAGAGAGAGAGAGAGACAAAGACAGAGAGAGAGAGAGAGAGAGAACGAGGGAGAGAAGAGAAAGAAATGATGAGGTGTTTCCTCAAATATCTGACCAGCTCAGTCATCAGGAGGGTCCTGGAGCGGGGAGGGGGCCCTTCGCACCTCCGGGCCGCTCCCCTCTCTCCTTCCTCGTCTTCCTCATTATCTTGTGTCCCTTCTTGTCCTCCTTCCTCCCTTCTCCCTTCTTCTTCCTCCCTTCTCCCTCCTCCTGCGTCCGCCTTCTTCCTCCTCCGTGCCTCCTCATCCCCCCTGGAGGTCGTCCGCCTCCCTCCTCGTGCGTCCTTGGCCTCCCTCGTCCCTGTCCTCTCTCTTCCGCCGTCCTGCGTCCTTATCCCCGGCAAGTGCCCCCCCCCCCCCCTCTGTCGGCCCCCTCCCCTCTCCTCCCCTCTTCCTACTCGCCTGAGCCCCTCCCTTCTCTTCCTCCCTCCCTTCTCCGAGCTCCTGCGTCCTCCTCCTTCCCCATCAATCCTCCTGCTTCGCCTCCTGCTTCTCCTCCTCCTCCTCCTCCTCCTCCTCCTCCTCCTCCTCCTCCTCCTCCTCCCCCTCCTCCCCCTTCTCCTCCTCCTCCTCCTTTCTCCTCCTCCTCCTCCTCTTCTCCTCCTCCTTCCTCCTCCTCTTCCTCCTCCTCCTCCTCCTCCTCCTCCTCCTCCTCCTCCTCCCTGCAACCGTCCTTTTCCCTCCTCGTGCGTCCTCGTCCTCCCCCTTTTCCTCCCTCCTCCTTGTTCTCCCTCCCTCTTCCCTCGCTGGTGCCCCCCTCCTTAGCGGCCCCCTCCCCTCTTCTTCCCCATCCTACTCGCCGTAGCCCCTCCGACACTTCCTCCATCCTCCCTTCTCCCTCCTCCTGCGTCCTCCTCCGTTCTCCCTCCTCAGAGCCCTGGCGGCCGTCCTCCTTCGTCTCCCTGCATGGACAGGAGTCGAAGGTGCAACACGAGCGCATCGAAGCATCCCCGCAATCTGGCCGCCAACGGGCGAGTGCCAAACCCCATGGCGGCTCCCCCCTCGGGTGCTACAGTCGGCGCCTCGCCCGTGACATCCTCACACTCTGCTCTGAAAGCAGCGGAGTCTGAGACACCACAGAGGCCAACCGCCAGAGACATCCCCACGATCTGGGCGCAAACTAGTCGCTGACGGCTTCCCTTTGGGATCTGAAACCAGCGCCTCGCACGAG